GACGCGAAGTCGCGGCCGAGAGCCGCGTTGTGAAAAATTCCGCAGCTACGCGCTTTTACAGTTACGCAGTTTTTGTTTTTACCGCCCGGTAAACTCCACAGCGTTCAACAGAATATTTATATTCATTTTTTTTTAACTACTTCTTACTTTACCGTAATACGTAATCGCGCGTTGCGTCGTATTCGCGTGGAATATCTTATTTCGCGGAGATGTTGCAAAACTCTCGCGTATGCACAATTTTGCGAATTTATATGAAAAGCGTATACACATTGTGGAATTTCATTTCGAATCGTGAACAAAGCTAAATTCCGTCGTAAAATCATTCCCCCTCGGAGGCTGGTGCATGCGAAAAGCTCATGGAAAATGCGCGCGTCTCCGTTATATATTGTATATCACCGCCGATATTTTCTCTAATCCAGATATCGTCCGGGCCGCCTCCCCCCGGGAGTTTATATCCCTTTTGCAAATTAATATGCAAATTAATGTAAGCACCGCGGTCGCATACGGCACCGCGCACACGTAAGTATATGTGTGTATATATATATATATATATATATAATACCCCGTTATATTGTGTGTGCACGGCTCTCTGCGCGCTTCGCGAGCTCTTCACAAGTATTTAAACCGCACAGAGGCCGTTCTTTCGGCGTCGAGAGTTTACCGCAACGATTGCGCGGAAAGATGCGCAATGATAAATATCCCCAAAGCTACGAGAGGGAGAGAGAGAGAGAGAGAGAGAGAGAGAGAGAGAGAGAGAGAGAGAGAGAGAGAGAGAAAGCAAGAGGAGAGGCCGGTCAAGGGGAGCGGCCACTTGTATCCACTTCGACCGGCGCGAGTTGCACTCCTGCGCGCTCAATGTGGCCCTCCTCTTTTGTTTGGTTCGCCGTAAGAGCCGACGACATCACAACGCGATGATGATCCCTCTTCTTCAGAGAGCGTACATATCTTCCATTATTAACACGGGGACACGGGGGTCGTTTTTTCAACTCCGTTCTCCTCTCTCCGGCACTCGAGATAATCTCGAGTTTTATAAGGTCGGTAGTCGTTGTTGATTATATCAGATGATGGCAAATGTTGATTATAAATATTGCCCGTACTCATATACGCAATCGAATAAGTACACACACACACACGGACCGAATTTAACCCCGTCCCCGTCATTTTACTTGCAATTCGCAAACTAATTTATTTCTGTTGATTTTGTTCAATATTCTTACGAACGTTTTATTTTTTTTTTTGTTCGTATTGCAATCTTTTGCTTAAAATTTAATTGCCGTTAATATGTCGACACATATTGTGTGTGTTGTACCGTTATGTTATTGCTATGTGCGGTTTTTATTCTAATTGAATCACATGCAAGAACGGTTCTCCAGCCGAGTGTTCTCTGTAATAATTACAAAAGCGATACGCATTTACGTCCGCAAGTATATGCATTATTCACAGTCCATTGGCAATTGCAACAATCAACTGCAGCAAACAGTAATCGATATCAAATAAAATGAAAATTTGTCTCGCGAAGTCGTCGCGGCAAAATTATATAACGCGAACAAGCGCGAGCAACTTTGTATGCACATATGGAAACAATTTGCAAATTGTTAGTTTGACGCTAAATTTTTCTCTTCTCCGGAAAAAAAAACAGTTGATTATTTCATTCGTAACGACATTTGATTTGCAGATTCTTGTGCGAGAAGTTTCTTTTTTAAAATTATGTATTTTTCGACATTTACTTTTCGCAACACAATTCTCGGTGTAGATAGAATAAAAAAAAAAAATAAAAATCTTGTTGCCGTTTCTTCAGTTTCTCTCTTTTAAATCTCTTGTGTAAGCAAAAGGAACGGGATGTGGCTGAGAATTAAACTTCGGAATGCTTTACTCAAGGACTCGCCTTTTCGCGCCTCTTACGACGAATTGTCGCGCGTTTTATTCATCGTCACCGCTTTTCAACCTTCGTCCTCACTTTTCATCTGCATAGTTTCGACTGTCATCTCTCTTTTGGCGTGCCCGTTCGTTGTCTCTTCTCTCTCTCTCTCTTTCTCTCTGTCGATTCGGCATGGCGTTTTTCATCTCAGAACCCGACAGGACGTTGTTTCTTCTTCACCTCGGCCGAGGCGTTCCTAACGACTTCAATTTAGAGCGCGCGCTTCGTCGACGCGGTTCTCTTTCGTCGAAAACCCTTTTTCTTCCTTCCTTTCTTCTTCTGACTTTATGCGCTGCATAAATGTCGCACAAGCTCGTAGTAAACTTACGACCGTCTTCGGTGGAAAAAAGGACGCGCGCGCGGACCGCGCGCGCGCGCGCACGTACAAAGTGAATATACGGGAGGAAAGAAAGAAAGAAAGAGCGGAAGAAAGGAAACTGCCGGAAGAGAACCGTGAAAGCCGCGTTTAAACTTAACGTAATAAGATCCCGCAGCGTTAACTCCTCGCGAAAAAGACAAGTGAGATTTTGCTTTCCACAAAAGTTTTTTCAACTTTGACAAGATAACCGTTTTCACCTGCGTGCACTTCCGTGCGCGAACGCACACGTTCAGACACACCCCACGGGGGGCTGAATCTCTCCCACCTTTCCCCTTTCCCCTTTCCCCTTTGTCCGAATCGAAAACTATTTCAAATTTTGCGAGTTATTTGCGAGCTTTTGAACGTTCCTCCGAATTAAAAAATTTTTTAGCTCATTTGCCGGAGCGGGAATTCCAATTTTTCGATGGCTGAAATGTTCCCAAACTTGAAATGTTCTAGGATTACCTGATTATTATTTCGCGCGTTGTGTAGCGGGAAATGTTCTCTGTGTTTGTTTCAAATATTAATTGCGCGCGAGTTAATATGATTGCATTGTCACATATTATCCGCTGTATCGCGCTCGATTGAATTCGGAGATATATTTGAGCGCCGGGGTTTTGCATACAAGAACGCCTCGAGCATGCCAATCAAGCGCGTCTGCATCCGTGTGTCGCTTTTTCTTATTCTCTTGTGCTCAGCTTCCGAAGCTGCGCATCATTTCGTGTTTCCACGGTTTCCGGCCGGTCTCATCTCCAATCAAGCGTCAGACGTATATATATATATATATATATATACACATAGCCTCGATTTCGTTGCAAGGCTCGGTACTACGTGGAGCGCATCGAGAAGATTCATCCCCCTGTGTTCGCGATATCTATGGAGACGTCGAACGTCGTTTATCGATACAAGTCAGGAGCCTTCCGGAAACGTATCGCGGATTTACGCGACCGCTAACGTGGATACATCGCAGCCTGTGGAGCGTGTTATTCTCCATTACCCGCGTCTACCTATAGACTTTTGTACATACATATCCTGTGTATCGTGTGTGCGTTGCACATGTGTACAAATCGCCGTTGTAATAAATTCGAAAAGCCCCAGGACGGGACGATCCGACACGAAGACGGAAACGCTGTTTTGACATCGCCGCGCCGATTTAATTGAAATTTTAACTTTCGCCCGTCAGACGCACACACTACGCCACGCTCGACCGATCGTTCCGTGTGTTTGCGTATTTCGGCCAAGTGAATTATCGAGTTCGCTATCGCGCCAATTCATCATGGCGAGAAAACGCGTTACCGCCAGATTTCGGCTGATCAAGCAAACCAAGGATCGCGCGTAAATCATTCTTTTGTGATTTTACGGGTCGCAACGTCGTGTGGTATGAACTATATATGCGCATCTACCACTATAAATTCCTTCCGCACAATAGCGATACGGAAAAGATTCATATCTGAATCAAAACACACTTCTGTGTTCATATATACATTTCAAATTTAATATATATATTTAAAGTAATTGAATAATCGGCAATTGAGTCATCGCTCAGTTATTAAATTGATAAAATTAAAATTAAAATTAAATTTAAAAAAAAAATTAAGCTAACAATATTATATTTAAAAAAAAATACTATATTAAAAAAATTAATTTTATGAAATTTAAATTTAATTAATTATAAAACTTGAAAATTTTTATTTACTTAATAAAGAGTAATAAACAGAACAAATTGAAAGAAAACTTACAGATACTCCGCGGCTTAATTCAATGACTCGTCATAATTTTTTCACCGTAGATATAGCAGAATTATAAAAATGATTCATTTTCAAGGTTAAAAAAATATATTTCTATCTAACGGTCCGACTCAAATCCTGAAAAAAAAACTCGTTATCTAAAAATAAGTATCAGCAATGTATTGCCACTATATATTAACAACAGACTCTCTTACGGAAACGCGAAAATGATCTGCGCTGGTCCGGTTAGAACTTAGCCGACGAGAACAATGGCCGCGGAGTTGCGCGGAAGTTTGAAGCGACGAGAACGAACGTTTGTCGCGATACGTCCTGTAACGTCCACTTCCGGCCAGGACAAACTTATTTGAAAGTTTACGCGCTCGTACGGTAAACGAGGAAAAGTCGATTGCCACAGGTTTCGAGAGGCGGAGCGGGAGCAATGAAATGCCTTCGAGTTACGATATAGCGGCGCGCACACAAGTTGCAGCTCCTCCTTCTGTGTCGGACGTTTGTTCGTCGTTCTGTTTTTCAATTTTCGCAATCGCACCTAAAGCAAACGTTGCCGCGCTTGTATCCCAAAACTTTATCTCGTTTTCGGAAGAACAATTCCGCTTTTGCACTTACGCTCAAGAATGTATGTTCTGTTTTCGATCTGCGTTCGAAAACTTTCTTTTCTTTATGATTCGCTCACAAAGAATTTGCCTACACACGTGTACAACTGACGAAGAGTGTTTCAGAAACGAGAAACAAACACATCTTGACACTCCACTGATAAAAGCTTCTTCCTTTCTGTTATCACACAACTAATCAAATTGCTTTACCAAACAGACGCACGCACTCTTGTCAAATAAACCAACATGCAAGTGTTGCATTTTTTCTCTGTATGTGTGAAATACAAATGACAATTACGATATCATTACATTATATTTGAGACACACAAAACTCAAGATATATATCTCGTTGTCGATAAAAAAAAAAAAAAAAAACAATAACGTACCTTTTGATCTTTCTGCCAAATGCACTGTCCTCTCTTTCCGAGAACCCGACACACCAGCTTCGCGTCCTGACCAGGATTGACCTCGGTATATTGCGGCGTTTCTTCAAATTGTTGGATTCCATGGCAGACTAAAAGCAATGAAATAACGGGAAACAAATAAGTAAGAAAATTGACGCGTTGCAGTTTGCATGCGCGCGCAATGAGCGAGCGGTTTATTAAAATTGCGCGCGCGCCACACGCGCGCATCGATGGTTTCCATTTCGCGCGGCTATTTTGCTAATTGAACGTTCATTTTGTATTCTTTATGGAAAACGTGAGAGAGACGTGTGTGTGTTTTTTTTTTTTTTCGTTTTTTTTCAACAACAACAACAACAACAACGCAACTAAAATACCGACAGAGGAGGATGAAGGCAAGATATATAAGCACGGTTTAGCCGGGCATTAAGGCAGCCCTGCAATCTCGTTAAAGTTGTTATTTAATTCGCAACTTCGCAAACTCATTTAACTCGGCCTCGTGCTAAGCTACGATCTTCAGTTTTCACCTTTTAAGTTTACCGATAAATTGTATTTAGTCGCTAATCGAATGACGGCAGACGCGACGCGACGGCACTGACTTCGACGACGATGCGACGATGCATGCAAGAGACTTGTGTATCCTTGCAGGCATTAATCGCAACTCGTTTAGTCCAACGTTAATTACTTTCTCGTCGCTCCCCTCCCAAGTGTTCTTCGAATAAAAAAAAACTAAATCGAACAAGTGTAATACCTAAATATGATTAATTGCTTTAAATTGCATCTCTCTTTATAGGACATCGATGAAAAAGAGATAATCATAAAATCGATGGGGGTTCAATGAATTTTTGTAATGTTAATATAATGCGCGCGCACACACACGTTTCTGGCAATATTAAAACGAAACAAAAATAATGTATCGAAAGAAAAATCTATTTCGAATCAAATTGTGCAATTGATAACTCTTTTTTTATTTTGTTTGTTTTTTTGAAAAGGAAATTGTAACGCGAGTAATTAGCTTCAGAAATAAACATATCAATTTTACACCAGCCACGCGAAATGCAATACGGACTCATTGTCGCGCGCGTTGCCAGAGGTTATATGAAAATTTCAGAATCGCAATGCGCGCTTTTTGTCGGATTGCAGCGTTAAAAATTCAATTTTTCACCGGGGCGGAGATGATTAATAAAACGCACTGCCGCGTCGCACGCGGCTCGCGGAAATAACGTTGCAAAATTAACACAAGCGCGCGCTCAGTTCGCACGAGATCCGGGCAGGCGCCTACAAAAGTATTTACAAATGCGAAAGAAAATACGCAGCACATGCTGTTTGATAATGCTATTATGATATTCCACGGAAATTTCTTCTCGCGCAATGAAATTCAACAGTATTAAAAAATACATTTTGAAAAAAGTCATTATCAAAGTGAATTTCATCGAATATGCGCAGCGACGAGAAATTTATAACTTTATTTGTTGAGAAAGAGAGAGAGAGAGAGAGAGAGATTTCTCTTATAAATCAATGAAGATGTAGAAGATGTACGATCTCTCATGAGGAAGTTTAATTCCTCAGCTTAACGTGTCGTCGCGGCGACGCAGTGCCGTCAGCGATTCATATCAGCGGAACGGAAGTGGCGCGGCGGTTGGCACAGCGACGGACGACGCGGTTTCTGGAGAAAATGCCGCGCCGGCGGAGAATAAGACAAAACTCAAGGATCCCGTCGCAACAGGTTCCGTAAAGTAAATTCGAGGCTTTGGCGCCTCGCGCGCGCGGCGCACACGCTCCGGCTGTTAATTGTGTTTGTACGCCGAGGCGACGAGCTGTACTTTGCGAGCGCCGTGCAAATACACTTGGACCGAAATTGCAGTGCTTTCTATCTACAATAATAATTACGACTGCAGTCCCGAGTAAAGTCAAATAGATACGGACAAATTACCGCAGCGTTAGAATAAGGAGTGGGATAGGGCAAATTGAAATTGTAGCACAAGCCATTTCAGGATATTAACATCAGCTTGTGTATTATTATTTTTTTGCTCGCGCGCGAGCAGACCAGGTGCTTAACGCGCAATTTAATCCCCGTCGAAAACGATGACACTTTATATATTTACAGAACAGACCTATATTCTGTAAATGTTTTCTTTTTTGTCCAATTAACAGTATACACATATGTATATATATATCGACATGTAAAAAGAATGACAGAGAAGATATTAAACAACTATAGAAAATATAGTTTTTTTTTTTTGTACGGACGCAAAACAAAAAAATACAAGCTTGCAGAGAAAATATCATAAATTCTTGCAGCCGCGCGTGTCGGGATGTAATGTAGTACAACTCCCGGACGCGCGCGCGAGTAACTAACTAACTTTGCTCACAGAAATACATCTCATTTTTGTGTGGAAATAGGGCACGCGCGCGGTCTAATAAATTCATTTGTCAAAAATTAAGCCAGGCAGTGGGAACAGAGATGAAATGTGACATATTAAAACACATGGCGCGGAGTAGGCGTAAATCCATTCCGTTGTATTTGAAAGGAGAAAATTTGCGCGCGATATTTATAACACTTTTCTTCAAATATTTTTATTTTTTAATACAACAGAAAGAGAAGGAGATATCGAGTTTTACAAAGTTGATCTTATACGGCGCGAAGATGCGCTCAAAAACAATTTATGTGCGAAGTCGAATTAAAAACTAAAAGACGTAATTACGGATCTACTTTTCCAACTGTAGAATGTCAATGCAGCACGTGTCTGTTTTTTTTTTTTTTTTGTTCCAAGGTATTTCCATCGGTTCGACGGAAATTCTCTAATTCGGGTTGACTTTCAAAGCGGGTTTTGGCACGAACACAAACCCGCGCGGAAGTCGCGCCCTCCCCGCGCGCACTATTCGTTAATTTCGTTTGCAATTCTACGCCGGGCAATGCGCGACCTCGATCGCTGACCCTCAAACGTGGCGGTTCCGAGGGGATGGAAAAAGTTTCGGTGGCGCCGCAAATTTGCTTTGCACGCGCGACCAATATTTGAGAACACGAAGAGGTGTGGGGAGGGAGCGAGAACGGAGGGATGAAAGAGAACGGAGGAAAAACAGCCGTTTCGCTCTCGCCAGACAGACCGACGCCGAAGTATCCTAAAAACACGGCTGTTCTTTCCTGTCTTTTCCGTGTTTCACGCGTTATTTACCTCTGGGCGAGACCACGAGACCCACGTCATCGCTGAATAAATAAATCTTAAGAGTCGAACGAAATTCTTGTGTAAATATATTAATAAATTCCCCGATGACTATATCATCATCTTTCGACTTATGGTTAATTAAAATTTTATTAGACAGCGGTGAATTAAAATCGCATTAATTAGACAACGAGACCGGCCGCTTGTGTATCGTTGGAGAGAACTATCGTATTACGCGCGAGAGAGGAAATAGGTATATCGCGGATACAGAAAATTGATATGTCCAGAACACGCGGACGTTCGTCAGCGTTAAATTTTCAGAATTCGAAATTCGATGCGAAATCTTGAAGAAGCGAAACTCCGAAAGAGAACGTTGCACGAAAAAAAAGTACAGTTCGCGTTTGCTGTATAAATGTACCGATATATATATATATATATATATATGTGTGTGTATACATTTACACTTTTATCGAAACGCGAGAACAATTTTAATCGAGCGACTTTAAATCATCTCGCGTGCGAACCTGTGAAAATGTGTACGCGCGCATTTGAAAGAAACCGGTGTATTATTTTTCTCGTTTGTTTTTCTATTTTTTTTCTTGATGTGAACGACGACGTCGTCGGTTAATCGCCCAATTACGTGGGCGCGCGCTCGCGCCTCACGCGAAGGTTCGTGAAAAATGCAAAAATTGCGCGCGATAACCGAAAATGCAAACGATCCGATAACGTTGACCGACGTGTTGACGATGCTAAGTATTCGTAATGCAACACGCATAATGGATTAACGCAATCCTTTCGGCAATGCGGCGCGATATTGATCGACACGGCGCGTCCGTTCCGAGAACCTGACGTTCAATTGAGATGAAAGTTTATTGCTGGCCGCGATGTTACACGCGCGAATAACGCCGCGCGTTTAAATGCGAATCCGAACATGAGGGATGAAACGGACTGTCGAATATCGCGGAATAATACGTGCGCGCGCCTCGAATCGGATACGCTATTAGATTATACATCCGAAATTTTTGCGAAAATCACGCAAGATGATAAGCGCACGCGCGCGACAGCCGATGTTTCCGCGCTTCTCTTTCGAAAAAAAGACAAAAATACAAAGTGTTTATCGCGGTTTTGTTGCAACATGATTCCCATCGGGCTCCGCTAAACATGCGAGACTCTATATTGTTTTTTTGTTTTTTTTTTATTTCGTGCACCTAGATACGCTCACCGGCTTTCTTTTTCGACACGGGACGGGAAAAACCATCGCGCGCAAAGCTTCGTTCAAACATTTGCGCAAAAATATGTAAATTTTTCGGTGTATAATTACACGCATTTTTCGACCGCGCGTCCATGTTGACGTTCGAAATCCCGGGTGTAAGAAAAGTTTGCGGAGAGTTGTTGCAGTTGTGTGTGGCGGTCGCGCGACAGGCGATTGTCGTGAAAACCTTCGTCGCGTTTTCACGCGACGTGACGGAAAAACAACAGAGGAGAAAGGAGAAGAGCCGCTGCTGGATGAAAACGTGAAATATCTATCGGAAACTACAAGCGCGCACAGGATGAGTGAAGTCACCAATATAACGCGCTCCTGTGCAATGAAAAACTGTCACGAAATATAGAATATATATATATATATATACAGGTATGTGTGTATTGTACATACACACGTGTGTCAATTTGCTTTTTGTTTTTAATTTCTCACAACAATTTTACTGTCGCACGACAGAAGAAGTGCAATATTTATTATTGGCGAAATTCGTTCACGGTGTTTTGTGCAAAAACAGAAGAGGTGAGAAAAAAATACAGAACGCGACACACACATAATGTTTGCGCATTTGCGCGAGTTTTTCCGAGGCTGGACATCGCCGGCTAAACAACGGGAGGAACGGAAACGGAAGAAAATTCTCGAAAAAGTCTCTCGCGGCTTATCGCAGAGAGAGAGAGAGAGAGAGAGAGAG